ATTGACTCAATTGATCAATGGATTGATCCAAAGGTGCCCGGACAGGTGTAGGATTATGCACATCATGATCCCCTTGAGTCTGAGTAGCATTGACATCTTTCTGGACCTGATGAGGCGGTAGTAAAGCAGCAGAGGTATTTTCACCTGTAATATTAGTGATACGTTCTAGGGCAGACGGAGTATGAAGAATCTCCCTCGCCTTCACGATAGGAGGTTCCAAAGACGGGGGAGCTACAATAATGTGTGGAGACTAAATGGTTGATATATTGCCTGTAGGAATAATGACGTCTTCGGGTGTATCCTTTTGATGATCGATAGTGTCAATAAATTGGAGCTGATCAGGAGGAGTTGGAATCACTGTGTCTAGCAGAGCACTTTATTTTTTTGGTCTGAGGTAGGGATGTAGATGATGACATTGAGAACTGGAGTGGCCGAACATACGACAGTTCGAACAATACGAAGAAAAATACTCAATCTCTATCTTTTGCTAATATCTATGATGCTGTGTGCCCAACCAAATTTTCTCAGAAGTGGAAGAAGTAATGTCTCTTTCAACAAATACACTAGTTTCAGATGGACGGGAAAGATTAAAGGTAGGAATATAGAAAGATTAAAAGTATGAATATCCGTCTTAAATGGCTTACCATAAGCTGAGACAATAGAATACAACATTTTTTGAGAAAAATAATAAAATTTCAGACTAGAAAGGTGAATCCAAACCAGAATGATTGACGGCTCCTGTGTTTCTTTGGGAGGGGAGTGGTCAAAATCCACAGACCATTTCAGAATTTTTATTTCTCTGTTATCAATCCATATTATCTTTCTAGCAAATAAGCGCAATTATCCTTTGTACAAATAAACGTGTATAATCTTCTTCATTATTAATTTGAATAAGAACGTGTCTCCCATCTAAAAGTCCAATTTTCCACTCCCCAACAAGGTGCATAAGTTCAAATTCCTTGCGAATAAGCTTTATTTTTGGATGACCATATAGATTTTTCCAAACCAAATTCAGACGACAAGAGGAAGCAAGTTGAATACCTTCAACTTCTGTAAAAAAGATGACAGACTTCCCATTTTTCCTACCAGGTTGCTTGATGTCCTCCTCCCACTCAAACGAAGGAGGAAAAGAGCACGATTTAGGTGTACCTGAGGTGTGGACACCAGCGAGGGCAGCTGCGTACGATCTGTCTGAAGCCATCCTCAAAACAAAGGTGTGGCGTTAAGAAGAAAATGGGGAAAAATGACAAAAAGAAGCTGGAAAGGAGAACACCGAGAGTCGCACTGCAGAGGAGGAAGCGTAGACCGAAGAAGTAGAAAAGGAGAACACCGGGAGCCGCACAGCAGAGGACGGGAAGGAGCCGCGAGAGCTGCTCGCGAGACGGGTTCGTGAGACGGGACACAAAACTCGCAAGACCGAAAGACAGCCACAGAGGCACCCGCGAGACGGGAAGCCACAGAGAGCCGCACCGCAGAGGAAGCCGAGAACTCTCGAGCCGAGAAAGCTTGCGAGATGGGAAGGTAGCGCCGCAGATCGCAAGATGCAGTGAGACGATGTGAAACAGAAAAGATGTCGCCGTAACAGTAGCTAGGGTTCACCATCAGGTGAAACCCTAGTAGAGTCGAGCAGAAAGGAAGACGAAGCCATATGCGAGCTGCTCGCGAGACGGGTATATATATATATATATATATATATGTATATATATATATATATATACATACATACATATTCGACCTCCTGAGTTAACCCTGCAGAGGGAGGTCCAATGCCAGAGATGAGACTCTTTTGTGCCACTTTTGGAAGTCTATATTGAGTTAGTGAGGTGTTAAAATCAGTTTAGTAGTATACCAACCAACAGAAGATCACGGGATGGATGAACCACAGTGTTAGAAATCACTTTAGTACCTTTGTTGGAGCAAACATTCTACAGTAGGACCCAGGTCCTTTCTGAGAAGATGAGATCTCTCTGAAGTGGTTAGTGTGATCAAGCCCTGTCATAGATATAGTTTCGAGTGGATTACTTCTAACATACTTGTTTATCAGATACTTCCAGCCGAGCACGAGTGGGAGAAGCAAATTAGAGCTACTTGCTTAAGATTTGGCTCGTGAGAATGTACACCGTTATGCAACTCCAACTCAAGTTATGCCGAAGTGAATGGACACTTATTCTATCAGAATGTGCTATGGAATGACAATGCCTATAGAATTTAATCTATCAGAAGCTTGCAACATTTCACTACCATTAAAGAGGTTGACCTGACAACTATAAGAAAATAAAAGTTTCGATAGATGTCGTTTTAGATTTAATTACTCTTGACATACTTGTTTATCAGATACTTCCAGCCGAGTATGACTGGGAGAAGTAGATTATAGTTTTACTTGCTCGAGATTTAGCTCGCTAGAATCAGCGCTGTTATGCAGCTCCAACTCAAGTTATGCCAAAAGTTGATAGATACTTATTCTATTGATATGTGCTTTGAAATAACAAAGCCTACAGAATTTGACTTACCGGAAGATTGCAACATTAGTGCTACCTTTAAAGGACAGACCTGACTAATATGAGAAAACAAAAGCTTCGATAGATGAGGCCGAAGCTCCCCAATCCCGGAAGAATGACACGGGAGTACCCTGCATGGGTGTTTTTGCGGCCCCTGCTATAGTAATGCTACAGTACCGCGAATTGGACTGAACGCGAAAAAGCTCATAGCGACCTGGGACCAATCAGAAAATTGAATTGAGGGCGGATGACCTTCCTTGCGAGGATTTGGCATTTCCTTTCAACAATATCTTAATTACCACAGCTTATATATTTAATTTCTATGTTTAGGTTTTCAGTTTTCTTCCAGAACAATGTTCAGCGTCTAAGTTATCGCTTCTAGGGCTGTATCAGAGGGCGAGTGGTGCTTCGATTATATCTCATTTAGGTTTTCAGTTTTACTTGACCAAATGGTGTTGCGAATGTATCTCGCTCCCGAGAAGGGATTATCCTTCTCCAACTCTTCTGCATCTCTCCCGCCACACATTCTTCCTCATTGTAGCCGCCAGAGAGCGCATTGATCGCGCTTTGCTACCACAAACTCTCCTTCATTGCAGCCGCTCCGACACCTACCTTTTGGATATCTTCCAACAATTCCAGCATTCTAAATTGTTGCCTGCTCACTGCTAGCCATTTAGAGTCATCATTTGGCAAGCTTGTAGCTACCTCAGCCCATTGCAACCTTCCATCAACCTTCTCCTAGCCTACTTCACCATCACAGCCTCGAAAGCCCCTCTCTTTGTTTTCCACTGTTGTCCCCGCCACCTACAACATTCTCTACACCTTCTCCAAGCCTTTTGCTTTGCTACCACAACACCATAAGCCCCTCACCTTGCTGTCCACTGTTGTTCCAGCTACCTGAGCCGCATCCCTTCAGACTCGCTGTTGTTCCAGCACTTCCCTGGCACTGTCATTGCTATTCCAGCCGCCCAAGACCATTCCCTGTGCAGCCCCCTTGCTGTCCCAGCCGCCATAACCACCTCCCGCAGCCTGGCTGCTGTTCTCACCGCCCAAAACCACCACTAGCCAATGTTTCTTCCCTGCCAAATCCACCCACCTAGTCCTGAACAAATTTTTTTTTTTAATGAAAAATGTTATGCTTCACATCATTTTGAAAACTATGCCACACAATCATAGAAAACTTGTTGAAAAAAAATTTCAACATAACGCGAGAGGTTACCGTAACAAATTGCAGCAATAATGTGCTACAGTACCGCGGAAATAGTTATCTCGAGAGACTCACTAAAATAAGCATGTTTTCCTTTCTTATGTTTTTTTTCCTATTATCATTCATTCCTTTTACGTTCTTTCCTATATATGTGCTGTATTGGGATTTGGAAGTCAGTTTTCTTGTGCTTTGTTTAGAACAGCCGCCGATGGTCATTTTCTCCCTTAGAGGGCTGCTTCTGAGGGTTTAGGTGTAGCTCCGGTTGTATCCCTCTCCCGAGGTGGTGTATATCTTCCCCATTCCACTTCCACATACTCCCTACACTACTCGCCGCCACCGTTTCTTGCTACAACCGCCCGGAACAGTTGCTGTCACTACTGTCCCTACACTTTATGCATTCTAGCGCACAATTCCTACTATTACAGCGCTCAATCCTCTCCCCTTCCCACCAGCTGTTGTCCCAGTCATCTCAAGCCACGTCTCTGCCACCTAACTGCTGTCCAAGCCCTCCTGCACGCCTCCCTGCGACATATATGCTGTTCCAGGTCCCTGATAAGCCAAATTCCTCCTAGCTATCACCAGGACAGCAAGGAGATGTTATGTTTTCATATTCCCCATTTGCTCTGCGCTCCAACCTTACCGCCACCTTCCAAGCCCCCGATGATCACCACCACCACCCCGAGACCCCACCCTAGTTCGATTATTGTGACGTGTCTCTTGATATTTCAAATTTCCAGGTGTTGGTTGTTGTATTTCCCTTCAAGTGTTGATTGTAATCGCCTTTATTAGGATTTGGGTTAACTCCGGTTATCACAACCATTTGGTAAGACAACCGCAATGCAAGTAGAACATAGGTGCTCACTAATATAGAAACTATGACCTCATACAACATTTTCTCTAAGCTGATAATAGCCAGCAGCACACCTTTCAACCATGTTATAAATTCTAATAAAGGTTTTCAATCAATTTCCATGTTTGAATTCATCTGACTACTTGCACTTTTTTAATTTTTTAGATATGGTATAGAAGATAAAATATTACAGGTTTGAGCATGCATTACTGAGGGCAGAGCTTGAACCAGCTTATTCAGAACACAAAGCTGACCTAAAGCTTCCAACCTTACTGCTATTAGACACTGCAAACCATTCTCATATAAACTAATGATAAGCATAATTCATAAGCTACAGCCTTCCTTTTAATGGAGGAGGTCAGAACTTGGTTAAAATTGTAAGAAACTTTAAGATAAACCGATATATATTTTTTCCACATGTATCATTAAAAAAAAAAAAACTCACCAGAATGTCTTCCTCAGGGTTGTCTGTTTTCAATGGCACGCCAGCCTGGATAACTGCAAGTAGTCCATATGTTATATTGAGTCATTTTAAGCTTAAAAAGTAAACAGAAAGGGACGGACACTCACCATCAACAAAACCATTTTGTTGGAGGCTATTCAACAGATTAGTAAGAAGATCCTAATAGCCAACCACATAAAGGATATAGTTATCTCTACCATTTATGAAAGTAATACAGAAGATTAAGGGAAAGTACATGGAATTGCACTAATGAAGAACTTTTTCACAGTAAAATAGAAGTATTCTGCTGTACCTGTTGAAACGAAGTCTGCTGAAAAAGATTCTGTAGGTGAGGCATCAAAATAGAAGCAGGTAATGTGCCGTTAATGTTATCCTTTTCGAGCTGATTAAGAGGCTGAGAAATGGGGGAAAGAATGCTAGAAGATAAAATTTAACGGCATAATGAAAGTATAAGAGGAAAACTAATAATAATAATAAATTTAAATCAGTTGAAATAAATTTACTAGAAACTTCCAGTTCTCAAACAATTCCTTGCCACAAGCATATAGAAATCGTAAGAACACAAACAATATCCTTCCCAAGTATTGCTGCAAGCATCGTGCTGAAACAAGATAGCCAAGCAAACGGTTTACTTCCTTCTTAACTGAAGTACATCAAATGACTCTGAAATCAGATTTCATCGGTTTTATCAAGGGTTAAAAGGTTCGAATAAAACAACGTGCTATTAAATATTTTCCAGCACTTAACCGGACCTGTTCAGAAGCATGTTTCAAACTCTAGTCAACTTCATCTACCTTCGCTCATATTAGTGCATGCTCTGAAAATTTGAGCCAAGTTCTTCCGAGAGAGTTTTTATTCTTATGGGTTAAATTTTCAAAAGACATTAGATTTTTAAAGAAGGCACCACCACTCAAAGATTTTGCCCTCATTTTATCAGAATTTTAAAATTTGGTTTCAGATTCCTTATAGGCATAAGTCTATGATAAATAACTTCTCCCAATAACGAGAAAACTTTCAATTAAAATTAGTAGTTAGATGCTAAGTATTTATTGTACAGTAACAACAATTTGATTTCGAATTGTTATAACTTAGAGTGGATCATGGAGGGTGAATAATGACGAATATGATCAGAATCACAATATTTTTAAATCAAAATCAGATTGTTTTTTCATCCTGGGTTGTTGTAGACCATGATTTATCTAAGCAGAATAGGTAACTGGCCCAAATTAACTAAACGATCCTTATCAACAACTACAAGTGACGAATTTGATCAAAATCACTTTTTTTTTTACAAAAACACATTATTTTGTCACCCCGAGTTGTCGTAGACCACGATTTATCATAATAGGTGACGACCCAACTTAACAAGAGTGAAATTAAAATAGACACGGCACAAACTCACACTATGGCTCGATCGATGGGTGACGAGGGACAACTAGGTGGTTGGGGAGCGGTGGTAGGAGGCTGAAATGTATTGTGGGTAGTTTGGACTACAAAAGAAGGGGCTGAAATTGCTTTGGCAGCGAAGCAGTGGGCTGGGACAACAAAATGCAGCTAAGTGCGGTTTTATTTGTTGGTTGGGGGTTGGGGGGATAGCAGGACAACAAGAGGAGTGTTGTTCAATGTGGGGACAACAAGATAGGCTGCAGTCCAAGCAGCAGCTAGTCAGAATGATGGTTGGATAGCAGAAAAAAATAGCAGATTTGCTATTTTCAGAATGGCAGCAGTGAAGATTGGTGATTGTAAGGGATGGCAGCATGTAGAAGAGGTGGCTGGCAGCTGGAATTGCAAGAATACAGTCGGAATCCTATCCAGTATTTCTGCTTGCGAGGAACGCCGGTAGAGGCAATGAAGGGAGGAATGCAGAGGACAGAGAAGTTAGAGATAAATACCCCCACAAAAACTAGCTACAGCCGGAGCGCCACTTGATCCCTTGAAAGGAGATCACCACCTCAAATGAGCTATCGCCAAAGCACCACCTGCCGCTGGATACATCACTAGAAGGGAGAAAGAGGATGCTGACGGCTGTCCCGAATAGAAACATGACCAAAATTCCAATTCTAAATATAGGAATCAAATATATGTATGCCCTGGGTAATTAGGATTGGGCCCACTGTTGAAAGGGGGACCCAAATCCACATAAGAAAGGTCGGTCGGTCCTCATATCATTGTTCTGAACTAGTCGTTGGTAGCTAGAAAGATTTCCGTCCAATCCAAGTCGAAGTATTAGTTTGTGGTACTGTAGTAAATAACGAGACGTCTTTATAGGCAGCAACCACATCAGTCTACTAGGATTATGGGAGCTTCGATCTCATCTGTCAAAGTTAACGTCTACCATAGTAGTCAGGTCGACCCAATTGATAGTAGTGTGAATATTACAAGCTTCCTATAAGTCAATACTGCAGGCAATGTCATTCCACAACACATTTTGATAGAATAAGTAACTATCCTCGTTTGGCACGACTTGAGTCGGGGATGCATATCGGCGTAGCTTCCCACATACCAAATTCCGAGCAAATAAATCTATAATTTGCTTCTCCCACTCCTCACAATCGGCTGAATGTATATGAAAAGCAAGTTTTGCAAGAGGAATCAACTCTGAAATGACATCAATGATGAACTGGGCCACAATGAAGTATAGCCACTTAAAAGAGATCACTTCTTTTTCTTGATTGAAAGGACCTTGATCCCACTGCAGAATGTTTCTTCCTAAAAAGGTCCTAAAGCAATTTTCAACACTGCGGGTCATTTATCCTGCCAAATCATTTGTTGGTGGGCACACTATTGCACTGATTTTAATACCCAAATGACTCCAAAAAATCTCCTATAAAAAACGCAAAAATGTCATCTTTGACATATTGACCCTCCCTAAGCAGTGGCAACACAAAAACTCACCTATATATTTCATGTGCCTAATATCGCCTCCTTAAACTCATGATCATTTTAAACATCTAATGTCAGTCCTGCTGATACTCCTCTCACACATACAAAATAGTAGATTGAGGGACAGCCGAAGCACCAAGCGGACCTGTGGAGACGATTACCACCTCGGACGAGAGACAACCGGAGTACTACCTTGGCGTCGGATTCATCCCTCGAAGAAAAATACCACGGCAAAACCTAAATTCAGATATCAAAACAAGACACTTGCCCTAGACACAAGAACTTCTATCTATAAAAGTCTTGACTCAACTTTAGGAAACATTAAAATAGAAAAAAAAAATAATATCAAATTTCAGAATTTAGGCAAGACTTTTAAAATAGAGAAGGAAATAAAATCAAATTTCAGATCTAATGCAAGGATTTTAAAATTAGAAGGGAAGTAAAATTAGATTTTGATTTGTAGGAAAGGTTATAGATTCAAAAAAGGTTTAAGGAGGCAAGAAAGAAAAAAAAAAGGAAAGGTAAGGAAGGGAGGAAAAGGAAAGGAAAAGAAGCAGGAGGCGGGGTTGGGACCCCCCTCTAAGTAGGGATGTAAACAAGCCGAGCTTGAGCAAGCTCAGGCTTGGCTCGTGTTCTGTTCGAAATTGGCTCGTGTTCGAAATCAGCTCATGAACAGTGTGTTCGTGTTCGGCTCGATTTAAATATTTGTATTCATGTTCGGCTCGAAATTGGCTCGTTAAAATTAAATTGAAAAGAAATAGATGTAAAGTGTTGGATTCAAACCTGGACCAAATGTATACAAAAGAAAACACTAATCACATTGCCACACAATGTGTTACGATTTAAACTTCGATATAAATATATATATATATTATTATATAAACCTAAAAAATTGGTGTTTGCCTCGCTTTCTTAAAGAATGATTCAAACATATATATGTAATATAATATATTATTATACAATAATTTTTTTTATTTCAAGCTAAAACGAGTCGAACATGAGCGAACAAAGAGTTGTTCGTGTTCAGCTCATTTATAATTCGAGCTTTAAAAACTTGTTCATGTTCGTCTCGTTTACTTAACGAATGAGCCGAACAAGAGCTAGCTTTTTTTACATCCCTACCTCCAAGTGGATGTGCCTGGTCGCGACCCAACCACCCCCCCACCCCCCCATGAGCCCCGCGTCAGATCTTGTTATACTACTCGATCATAACTAAGGTATTAGTCCTGTTGTAAATAGTAAAATCTCAAAAAAATATAATGTCTGTAATGTACTTAGAGAAACTTGTGTTGTATCTCCATCACGAGCAAGGTCGCAATTTTGCTCTTTCCTTTATAATAACAAAAATATTTTAAATTTTCCCACCGGTGGGAAGCACTCTAATTGAGATTAATAACAAATAATTTAACCATATTATTAGTTGATATCTTTGCGCTTAAAGACCCGCCTCAAAATTTAAAGATTGAATAAATTCATTCAAATTAATACGATCATCAAAATCAGGCAGATCAATTTTCACTCTAAAATCACTTTATTCCCCTATACTTATGGCCAAATCGGTGTGATATTCGCTCTTTATCACTTGAGGCCCCTTGTTGAAATGGATTTTCTTCCTCCCCATCCAGTTGGTCACCATTGTGACTATGAGTGACTTCACTGTGCCATCTTAAATTAAAATCAACAAGCCAACACCATAATTGGAGGTTTTTGTTTTGTGCTTTTTTTAATTATTTATTTAATTTTTTTGTGCATCCTCTAGTGCGAAGCTTTTCAATATTTTTTATGGAATATTTACCACGTTAGCATGGATTATCTCCCATATTTAAAATTTTGGCCAAGGTATGGGTTGGCCAAAAAAGAGAGCGTTATGGTGGAAGAAGGAATACTTGCTTAGACAGAAAAATTAGGTAATGTAGATTTAGTTTTTGGAATGGAGATTAGTAAATCCCTAAAGATTTAAAGTTTGTATAGCTCTAATACCAAATGAAATCAATATAGGATTCCTAGATGGTGTATAAAGTATCGAGGAAAGTGGTAGGTTCATAATAGAGAGTACAAAGAGGCAGTGGTTATTGTCATGTAAGAAAAATGAGGAAACATAGTCAACATAAAGTAGAAGGGTGCGCACGTTAAGAGAAATCCACCACTAATTCCCAATCATGCTGCAGATGCACCACTTCAAAGAGAAAAAAACTACAGCACTCCAAATAATAGAAAATCAGAGTAGACAATCTCAAATAGCATATAATTTCATCAAAAGTCCCCAACAAGATCCTAGCATAACACCTTTATAATAAGACAATAATGAAAACTACTTGTAATTCGAAATAAAGCAAATAGAGGCCCACAAGGATCAACAATGCCTAGTATGCGAGAAAAGTCCTGTTAAGGAATTCCTTGAGGCCAAAATCCTGCTCACCATTCGACTACATCTCGCCTAGCTGGTAGCAATACTCCCATTTCAAATGCTTTGTTCAAAGCTTCCAACAACATATTTTCTCTTTGATTGTATATTAATGAATATTACCAATCAATTTTATATCGGTCTACAGAATCTATATTTGTGCTTTTAAAAATCAAGACATTGTTTTATTAAGAATAAAACTTGAGGGAAGTTCCACCCTACTAGTTAAATTTGATGACCCCTCCATCGGTAGGTTTGAAACAAGTTAGTGATAGGATAACATGGAGGACTCCCTAAGGTGCTAACCATCTTAGTGATCAATAATTCAAACTTCTTTTTTAGGAGTCACTTTTTGGCAAAATTTATTAATGACATATCTCTGAAAACACAAATCATATGTCAAACTTTCTTATCAATATAACTTGCTTCATAAGGCTTTGGCCTTCATATTAACTTTCCCATTTATTGGGGTTTGTTAGACATCAGATCCAAATGTCACGCCCTAACGGTCATCTTGCAAAAATAGCTTTAACTTATCTCAAGTACCATGACAAATGCTAATTTTCTGGCCATACCTATATGTTTTCCCTTGGATCTTTCAACAGCAGATTGATGCAATAAAGTGTTACACCCTAGTGTTTAACCTAGCTTTGGCATGCCTTGATCTATCATAACAAATGATACCTTTCTTGATAATTCTTTATGGACCTCCTTAAAAATTGATCTTTTGTATTTGGTCTTTTATCATACCTACTTTTTCATCACTTTCAGAATTTTATAAATTTATATGAATAGAGTTCCAGACATTTTCTCAAGAAGTAGAGGTGTTGATGACATCTAAGAAAATTATTAGATGCTTGATTGATGCAGAAGCCACCAAGGAGGGGTTTTTCAGATCATTGCTACAGTACCATGAACACCCGCCAGCGAGAGCGGCTTGGACCAGTCTAGGAGGGCCGGTCGACCATTCCTTGAGTGGATGTACCTTCTATTAGGAGTGGAGTCCACTTCTCTTCACCCTAAGTCTATAAATATGTTGTTTTTTATGTTTCTAAGTGTATTTTTTACTCTGATTTCTATTAGTACAGCCGCCAGCATCCATTTTTCCTCTCGAGGACTGTATCGAAAGAATTGGGTGGTTCTCCGACTATATTTCTCTCTTGAAGTGGTGCTTATCTTCCTCATTCCCCTTTCTGTAACCGCCCCACACTGCTCCCAGCCACTCCATCCATAATGCAGCCGCCCGGAATAGCTGTCCTGCTATTTCTTCCTGCAGTTTTCTACCTGTCAGCCGCCATTGCTTGCTGCCACAACTTCCCACAATCACCTGCTTGCTGTCCAGTCATCCCAATCCAATTCTGGCTTTCTGTTGCAGCCTCCACTGCCTCCACTAGTCGCCCAACACCCTCTGTTTGCTGTAGCGCCCTCCCACTGCCCCACTCGACTCCTGTACCTTGTCACAGCCCCCTGCATGCTGTCCAGCCACCACACCACTCCCCCGGTTTGTTGTCGCATGCTCCAGCAACCTTTAGTTCGTTGTCCAGCCGCCAACCCACCTTCCCCTTACTACCACAAACCCTCCCTACGCCTAAAGTTCTCCGTTTCCCCTACCTTGACACGCAGCCCACCACTATGGATCCTCGCCATAGATAGACTTTTGTGTCTATGTCGTTGCTTTCCTATTTTGAAGTGTATTGTTTATAACCCATCTGAATTTCAGCAATAAAATTATCATTCCGTTGTGATTTTTGGGTTAACTCCAGATTTACTGGTGTTGATATTAGACCTAAAAATTTTGCTGACAATACTAAGCATGAATTTCTAGAAGCCCACATGTGAGACATCTAGGGAAATTATTAGGGTTAGATTGTCCAAAAAAAGTATTGCTAGTTATTCTTTATTAGTCTATTGCTGCTTTCCGTGATTTAGATGATGGAAATGTTACTAGTTAGCAAGGTGAGAGCAGTGAATTATTAGAAAGAATGGAGCAAATGATGGGAAATAGTGGTTTTATTTTTTTTGTCTGTATCCCTTGTAAGAAAGGACCACTGGCAATTAATTTGTTGTATCTGGGCTGAACTAGATCATCTTCACATTGACAGGCCTACCCGAGGCATAATCTAATGTTTTCAAGCTATAATCAGGTAAACCTACTTACCTGAACTCATATAGGCTGTACCATACCCCCATAAATTTTGGACTTGTTTGGGTTAAGTAATGGCAATCCTACATGCCCAAGGAAGATAAAAAGAAAAATTAAAGGAATTAGATCTCAATAACTCAATAATTTGCATAGAACAACCGTTAATGTTTTAATATATACATTTGATTTATATCAACAAGAAGAACAAGGCAACACCCTATCACCTTGACACAACGCAAGTGATTAATGGCTTGAGCGCCCATTCCACTTCTGAAATGCATTTTTTTGCTAGTTGATAAAAACTACAGCAGCCAATGGAGCAGACAACACCATTGACCAATAATCATTCCCTTTATGCGTTCACCTCTTATTCTCTAATTGAGGACTGAGTGTCCAATCCTAGAATTCTATCTGACCAACGTAATTGGTTGATGCTTTAGAGGCAAGGAGCCAAATCAAGCACAGGCTTCTTGCTACCATCCACACAACAAGAACGACAAACTCCTCCACTCCTACCTTTTGCAGAAACACATTCAAAGAAAATATAAAGATGTTATTCTTTTTTAACTCAAAAGGGCTATGTAATAAAACAAACAAACAAATTTATAGTTTATATTTGCTCAAGACATGACGTGATAGTTTGCAATATATAATAATGGCCATTTTGATGCAATATGCGCACAAGATGAAGAGATTTCTCATTAAAAAAAAAATGGATTTAAATATAACATCACGTCAAGAACACTAAGGGAATCAAAACTAGCAATAAAAAGCCTAGCAAATGTGAACAAATACACCACACCAACCTTGCCTTAAACGTAAACATTATGTATAAGAACCATAAAAAAAGTGAAGGCAGTGTAATCAAATTACATACCACTTGCTTAGAAACCAGAAAATCCCCGACGCTTCCAGATTTTGTAAGTAGTGAACCCTGAACAAGTATCAATGTTTTAAATGGAGGAGAAAGAGAATATTAATCACAAAATTAGTTATTTTTTTGCTTGAAAGATGAATCTAAACCTGTGATGATCTTCGTGGAATTGTGCCCATAGGAACATCCTGAAATGCAATAGCAATTGCTCATGCATCAGATGCTGGTCATTTTATATGTTTCTACTTCATAGTAAAAAAACTCACCTTTAGGCGTTCAACATTCTCAGATGTAACAGAAAACCTTCCTTTTATTTGTACCACATTAGAACGAAATTTATCCTCCGAAGAATCTCCGTATCCTAAAATAATTAATGCCAAAAACTGGTTATTATAAATAAATAAATAAATAAGCAATAGACATTATTCTTTCTTAAGCACTTCATTAAAACATATATTGAGAAACTAACAAGCCACAAACGGGCTTCATTCAATCACAAAAATCAGTTTCCAACAACTTATTTCCATAATTCTCCTTTTTATTTTGTCAAAAGAAAGACTAGTAAGCCAGATAAAAGAGAGAAGCATAAACTAACACGAAAATTAATATTTAATCTTACCACTTGAATATCGTATAGGAGCAGACAAACTATTAGAAGAGGCACGAGTTGGAAGCATCAATGGACCACTCAAATTTGGAGTCTTTCGTGAATCACGTTTACATCTCTCAGTCGCCAATATATTCTCAGCATCAACTCTAGTGGAAAAAGACTAAACATAAATCAATAACTTTGAATTCATGTATTTCAGCTTTTCAAACATATTAACATTAAGAAACACAGTTGATGTCATCAATAGGGGACAAAAAGGATTAAAGTGTTTTTAGTTCAATGCCAGATAGGCATGTTAACAAGGTGATATTAAAGGGCAATTGTTTTCCGGCTATCTCCAAGTTGAAGTAATTTAAATAAGAGCAATCAGATTCATGTCCCCTAAAATTGTATATCAAACACTCAATCTTTAATTTGCAAATCCATACCCTCTATATTCTAAATTATCTACTATACTAATCTCTCAACTGTGTCTTATCATTTAATTAACCAACATAAGTTAACAAGATCCAAAAAAGTTAACGCAAATAAATAACAAAATGGTGATCATCATTCACCTTAGATTCCAACTTCTAAGAAAAGTTTGGCATCGTAACATTAGAAGCATTTTGAGTCGCTGTGACGGTCAAATATTTAAAAACAAAACATACAATGAAACTAAAAAGGCCACAAAAAATGACTAATTTGCATTTCTTCAGATTTCCATTCATAGCATCACTGACATGCACAAAACTAAATTGCTTACTTTTCTCTTCAATAAAAAAGTAGCAGACATGTTTCAGAAGCTATTATTTTCAATTTGATTTGATAAAATAAATAACAAAACAGAATAAAAGATCAAATAATGGAGCTGAACCTTTCAGAGGTCTGACCCCTTTCCAAAGAATTGTTATGCATACTAGAAGGTAAAAGAGGACCGCTGTATGTTTGGTGCTTCTTCCCAACTTGAGTTTTCCATCTTGGTTCAACATCCTGTTTAGACGTAGATGGTACTGAATCATTTTTCAGACTGACATTACCGGATCTGTCAATATCTTCTCGACTGCCAAAGTCGGATGAATCTTTTTCTTGATGCTCATCCATTTTTATGGCACCACCACCCTCAGACCATTCAGCTTCAAAATTTTTTAGTCTGCACAAATTAAATGAGCTATAAAAAAAAATGATAAGAGAAAATTATGAAAAAGTGGATAACTAGACTCTTCCTTCAGTATCATGGAACAAAAATGTGATTTAATATCATCATCACATTGGGAATTAGATGAAGATTGTTGACCTCATTTTTGGTCAACTCTCTCTCTCTCTCTCTCTCTCGGCTCATATCCAATTCCATCTAGATCCAAGACCTTTTCCTAGAGTCACTAGGAAGCCAGATTGACCTCAAATTAGCCAGGACTTGAGTTTTACTTGAGCTAAAAATTGAAATTAACTGAATTTAAATACGAATCTACTTCACTTGAACCAAAATTAAAATTAAACTAAATAAAATATAAATCTAATTCAATCAATTTAAATTCAAACCTAAAGTTGAACCAAATTTCAAAGTAACTCAAACAAACAGTACAATTATCATTTTCATTACAGATCATCTTAGTGCTTGAAATTTCATTCTGTAGACTGTATCATGATCATTATTATGTATAAAAAAACATGCAACAAGTTTGACGGTAATTTGTTACATTTTTCATGTGGACTCATGTGATTCAAGTTTTAATGCATGAACTGTTCCTCCACGTAAAACTTTTTCATTTGAGCATCATTTCGTGAAACGGATTACGCAAGTGCATCTAGATCATCAAAACAATTCACGTGAACTTGCTCGTGTACAAATTAGGCTCCATTTGATGGTGCCTTGAAATTACAATAATTTGGAAAATAATAATAGTAATAATAATAATAATAATAATAATCATAAACCAATTAAATATTAATATTAAAACAAAATTAAATTAAATTATTATAACTTAAACAAAGATTTAAATTAAAACACAAATTGAAACCTAAACTAGAATTAAACCTAAGTTCACTTTATTTGAAACTTAAAATTTAAAAATCGACTAGAAATTAACCTAAAATTTAACTTAAAATTAAATTTAAACAACACAAATCAAATTAAATGAAATTAATAGCTAAATTTAACAAACTAATGTTAAAGATAAGTATAAACTTAAAAAACTCAACATAAACTAAGAACGAAAAAAATAAATTTAATTAAACTCTAAACTTAACATATTAAATTTAAATTTAAACACAATTAAAACTTTAAGACTAAAATTAAATTTAAACAAAATGAAATCTAAAACCAACATCTACATACATATCACTTAATTCTTATATATTTAATACCTAACACCTAAATTTTATCATTTTACATAAATCCCACTATTATCTCTACATGAAAATATGTTGTTTTACTTCTAAAACCTAAAGAGTGGTATGAGTGTAAAATTATAAATCCCGGGTGATAGTTATGTAAACACATATGAATTGAGTGATGTGCATGTCAATGGCCAAATTCATGCTAAGCCCAAGTCAATTTTGATGCCCGAACTCCCCTTTTTCATCTCCACCTTTCAATCTTAATCAAAGGGGAGATGAGGGACTACAAAGCCTCTTTCGAAGCCCTAACCCAAATTGCGTTGCCCATTTTTAGCTTCCAGCCGAAAGAAGCTCTATCCCATTGCTCCCCATTAGCAAAAGCATCACATGGCTCACTTCTCCCATCTTCCCCAACTAAACCAAAGTCCTCTTTCTCACTCTTCTTGCTCTGGTTCGAAATTTCAACGACTCTCGCCCCTTTTCAGTTGTCAAAACCACTGAATCTTCTCATTCTCTCCCTCTATAAGCCTAACTGAACCCCATAGTTCGGGATGGCGCGCCCAAGTTCTCTTTCCCCCTCTCTTCTTTCCCTTCAAATAAACCCGAGCTCTTTCTTGCTTTCTTTGTGCTGGGCAAAGGGAAGCCAAAATACAGCCACCATTTTGCCCTAGCAAAAGGAAATATCAAAGGAAGATAATATTTACATTCTTCTCCTTCTTTCTTCATGCATTTCACAAATGTAGTTTGTTTATGTGGAGTTCATTTTTAAATGTAGTTTGTTTATGTGAAGATCATTTTCACAAGTAGTTGTTTATGGGATATATAGTTTGTTTATGCGAAGTTCATTTTCAAATGTAGTTGGTTTATGAGAAGTTCATTTCACATGTAGTTTGATTTTGTGAAATCATGTTTGGTTTCATTATGTGAAATTAATTCTCATGTATAGTTTATGAGACATTAATTTTCAGGTATAGTTTCACTATGTGAAGTTAATTCTTATGTCTAAATTATATGAAGTTAATTCTCAAGAATAATTTTATTATGTAAAGTTAATTCTCATGTCCAGTTTCATTATGTGAATTAATTTTCATGTATAGTTTACGGAAGTTAATTCTCATGTTTAGTTTCAACATGTGAAATTAATTGTCATGTAAGTTCATGTGAAGTTAATTTTCATTTTTAGTTTCATTATGCGAAGTCTCATGTATGGTATATGTGAAGGAAATTTTCATGTATAGTTTCATTATGCAAAGTTAATTCTCATGTTTAGTTTCATAATTTGAAATTAATTCTCATGTATAGTTTAAGTGAAGTTAATTCTCATGTAAAGTTTATGTGAAGTTAATTCTCATGTATAGTTTCATCATGTGAAGTTAATTCGCATGTATAATTCATGTGAAGTTGATTCTTATGTCTAGTTTCATTATGTGAAGTTAATTCTCATGTATAGTGTCATTATGTGATATTATTCTCATATATAGTTTCATTATGTGAAATTAAATCTAATGTTTAAACTCATTATGTATACTTAATTCTGAAGTATAGTTTCACCATGTGAAGTTAATTCCCATGTACAATTTATGTGAATCTAATTCTCATGTATAGTTCTCATGCATAGTTTCATTATGTAAAGTTAATTCTCATGTATAGTTTATGTGAATTTAATTTTCATGTTTAGTTTCATCATGCGAAAGTAATTCTCCAGGTAGTTTATGTGAAGTAAAACTAATTTTTATGTCGACATTGTTTATGTAAAGTTAAGTAATTGTCACATGTGGTCGACTAATCTTCTTTAAATACTAAGCGTTCAACGTCTCTCTCAACTCCCATAATGCAAAACAAAGGAGAAAGGGAACTATATGGAAATGAATTCTTATATAAATGAAATTGCTTAAACTATCAGATTTCTTATATTTAAATACTTAAACTTTTAGATTTTCAGTTATGAAAATACAAAAGCTTAAATTCTCAAACGAATTCTAATGCTTAAACTCTGATTTTTTTTGTTCAGTTTGAGTTTTCCCATATACAAACCCATGTGAATAAATTCTTGTCTCTCAATGTTTAAACTTTCAGATTTTTTTGTTTACAAACTCAGACTTTTCACGCAAACGAATTCTTATGTGCTCACATACCTAAACATTTCATGTAAATTGGTGTTACATACAAACACATATGTGTTTACATAACTAAAATTTCAGGTTTTATTTCATATAATTTATCTCTTATGTGTTTACGTGCCTAGGCTTTCAGATTTTCATGTGGAAAGGCTTCTATAAATCCTTAACGAAAATTTTGAAATTTTTTTACATATAATTGAACTTTTTTGTATTCACATACCTAAACTTTCAGGTTTTCTTTCGTATAATTGAACTCTTATGTGTTTACATGCCTAAACTTTCAGATTTTCACATAGAAAAGCTGCTTTGAATCCTTATTAAAAATTTTGAAATTTTTTTACATATAATTGGAATTTTATGTATTTACATACCTAAACTTTCAAGTTCATATAATTGAACTCTTATGTGTTTATATGCCCAAGCTTTCAGATTTTTATGTGGGTAAGATACTTTAAATCCTTATGAAAAAGCCAAAAATTTTTACATATAATTGAGCTTTTATGTACTCACATACCTAAACTTTAAGGTTTTCTTTCATATAATTGAACTCTTATGTTTTTACATGCTTTCAGATTTTCTTTCATATAATTGAGCACATGAATTCCCCTGCATAAACTTTCAAACTTGCATATATTAAATACCCAATTCCTATAGGTTTGCTTTCCAAAATCTGAAACTTTCATGTGTTCATATACGAAAAAACTAAAACTTTTGTGTTTGTATATGAAAAAATTGAAACTTTCACTTATTCATATACAAAAATCTAAAACTTTCATGTGTTCGTACACAAAAAAGCTGAAACTTTCATATATTCGTATACATAAAATCTGAAATTCTCGTGTGTACGTATATGAAAACTGTGAAACTTTCATGTGTTGGTACATGAAATTTTTTTTAATTTTTATATGTTCGTATATGGAAAATCTGAAACTTCCGTATGTTTGTATATAAAAAATTTGAAACTTTCATGTGTTCGTATATAAGATATCTTAAAGCTTTTGTATGTTCGTACAAGAAAAATCTGAAATTTCTGTGTTTGCATTTTTGAAATTCAATATTTCTGTGTGTTTACAAGGCCAAAATCCAAACTTCAATTTGCATACATATCATTTAATTTTCATATATTTACATATATAACACCTAAGATTTCATACTTTAGTGTAATATATTTTATTTCATTTGTAATGGGCGAATGAATGATATTTTTGGCTATGTAAACATTAAAAGAAAGATTTGAAGTGTCGTGCATGCAAGCTTTAAGTTTTATACGTTATATATAAAAATTTAAGTTTATGTAAGTAAACTTTAAAGTTTAAATTTTGTACATGTAATCTACTATTCAAAGTGATGGTGATAAAGATGAGGAAGTTATTAGTAGAATTCAAGTTTGATGGATGAAGTGGAGGAATGCATCGGGCCTATTGAGGAAAAGGAGTGATAGAAAAGTACTGCTTAGACATGAAGGAAAATTTTATAAGATGGTGGTGAGACCTGCAATGCTTAATGGCGCAAAATGTTGGCCTATAAAATAAAAGTACAAAACTAAGTTGTGTTGCTGATATAAGAATGCTTAGGTGGATGAGTGGTTTTACACTTAAGAGTCAAAATGCAAAATGAATATATCCGTGAAAGGGTTGGTGTGGCTCCAGCGGCAGAGAAAATTAGAGAGTCATATTAGATGGTTTCGTCACATTAAACGTCGAGCATCTGATGATCTGGTTAGGAGAGTACATGTTTTCAAATCGACTTATGTTAAGAAAGATAGAGGTAGACCTGAAAAGACTTGGGCATATTCTATAAAAAATGATCTTAATTTATTAGAATTAAATAAAATAATTCTATAAAAAATGATCTTAATTTATTAGAATTAAATAAAAATATGACATTCAATAAAACACAATAGAGAAAAAGGATTCATGTAGCCGACCCTTCTTAGTGGGATAAAGGTTTATGGTTGTTGTATATTTAAATCTATCAAAATTTGAGTGTTATGTGTGTAAGCTTTAATGCTAAAATGTTCTATATGAAAATCTAGACGACTTAAAGTTTTATGTGAGAAATTTTAGGTGTTATATATGTAAATCCATTAAAAATGAGTTTTATGTGTGTAAACATGAAAGCTAAAGTGTTATGTAAGTAAGCGAATGACATTTTTTAAGTGATAAGTCAGAATTGAGTGCTATGTAATTCCAAAAAATAAAATTGAAGTGTTAAGCAAGGTTTAGAAACCGGCCCGACCGGTCAGTTCAACCATGAACCGGTGACTAGTCCAGTCTGGACGCATAATGGACCATTTCTGTTATTGAAGTGTCGGTGAACCGGCCGAACCGCAGGTTCCACCGACAAACCGTAGAACTGGTTTTCTCTTTTAGAAACCATGAATATTACTAGATATTTTTTTTGTCTTTGTCATCACACACACACACAGAAAAGAAAGAGAAAGAGAAAGAGAAAGGGTTGCGGTGAGTTGGTAACATATAAGCTCATAGGAAATCGGAAAGGTTTATAGGATGGCAATTTTTTTTTGTTTTGGAAATATTAAAATTTTTTTTGGGAATTGGGCTAGCTGCTCTTATGGAAGAGAGCTTGAAGGCTCTATTATAAGTGTACTCAGCAATTTCAAAACTTAAAAATCGTGATTGTATTATTTATTTATTTTTTTATATTTATACTATTATATTATTATTATATCATGTAAGTCATTTTTAATTAATTTTCGTATTTATTACATCATGAGGTTCAACCCTCTATTCAACTCCGATCAAACCAATATCCCATGAACATTTCCTTCTTCCTGTTTAATGTCTTATTCACTTTTCACAACCTGTGTTAATTGTAAAAATATAGGAGAATCAATTGGTGTGTATGTAAATTCCACTTGCATTTATGTATTTAACACAAACTCTAATTTGACTTATAGAAGAACCTAGATTACTGAAACTCCATCCTATGATAGAAAACTGACAATAGAAATAGGATCTTAAAAATGAACAACTGAATGAAAACAGCACATAGGCTAAAAAAATTAACAAATTAGAAAAACTTAGAATATTTGATTCTCTTGTTGACCGACAAATTATAAAATTTAACCAAATCAAAATTAAAATATCAAACCCCAAGAAAACAAATTAAAATTCACCGACTTAAATAACTAAAACCACACCTAAGTTGATTAATTATAAATCCTAGATTAGCTAATTTAGAAATGAAGCTTAGGTTTATACACACCCCTAGATTAGTCCAGCCTAAAAGTCTTGATTAGATTACTAAGTACCCTCAGCTATTTTCAAAAGAGTGGGACCTATAAAACCCCAAGTTTGTAAACTCCTTAGACTATGTAGGTGCTCAAGAATGAAGTAACTCATGGTTACTGACAAAGATAACTCTAACCACTTATAGTTAAGAAAGATTACACTCGCCACTAAAATAATAGTTGAGACCTATGAATATCTAATTAATTAATACTCTAAGGCTACTGATGAATTTGGGACAATGAAAAATCAATGACATCTTGATCGAGGACGTCATATCCAAATTTAAGTCAGTCCACCTATTTAGTCTCCTTATAGAGTCTAGATTTACCTTAGGGTTATGCTTTCAACTTCTATCTAGAATAACTTTCAACTAAGCTTGTCTCTTTAGTTTAGGAATCAAATCAAACCTTTCAAATCAAACTTTTAACTCAAAATTTTTAAATCAAACCATTTAAATTAAACATTTCAATCTAACATATTCTGCCTAAATCCAACAAATCTAATTCATTCCAAATTCTTTTTTCACTTCATCCAAATTCTACCAAACTTAACTCCTTCAATGATTTCCCAATTTAATCCCCAAGGTACACCTTCATCCCAAGGTTTGTTAATCACTTTCCAGGGTCTTTACACGACACATCGTCATTAGGATGTAAATCTCAATATTTTGTATCCTTAAAACTCCGATCTTAATATCCAACATTGAAATCATAAATAATATAGGTTAATACATTAATCAAGAATTCTCTCAAGAGTTCAAAACTCCTGTGAAGTGATTAACTATGAGGATTTGTCATTGTAGAAATACCATACCCCATAACAAAAAAAAAACCCTATCTTACACCCATAATGTAGGGGAAAAATCTCTGGTTAATGTAGACTCATAAATCTTAAAAGTTTCATCATTTGAATGATTAGATCTATTTCAAGATAATATTTCTGCTCCTCGAAGTAGTATATTATTCTTCATATGACGTATTCAATCATTTAAATAGAAATCTTTCAAGATTTGTGGTGGACTCAATGCAAAATTAAAAACAACAGAATTCATGGTTAGTTCAAACTTTTTGCATATTAACTTGTTAGAAGATATTCATATTTGATTGTATCATTTTAAGGCATTTTAATGCTTTTATCAATTTCTAAAAAATCAAGAGAAATCAAATGATACAGATTTCAAAACAATTTCAGAACTAGAGCTTGAGAACCTTCCTAAGATTTAGTACATAGAAAAACCAAAAAATTTTAAAAACAAAGCAAGAGTAACAGAACTGATATGTTCTGAATATTAAGTATCGCTTGTATTCCTGCGTAAAGAAATAATGAAGTATGCCAAGCACAAGAAGAAAGCATAAAACTTGATAACGTGTAATAAAGAGCTGCATGAGATATATAAGAAAGCTCACTTGTACCCAATTTCATTAGCAGCTAATGGTTTTTCCACAAAAGATCCAGAAGTGCATTGATCCTGTCAACAATAAGGTAACTTTATGTACGAATTTTGTAGTTCTTTATAAAAATAAGTGTAAAGCTGTTCAATGTTTAACAACCACACAGATCGGAGATATGGTAAGGTGCAATAAAAGACAAACTATGCAAAAGGTACAGTTATTATAATATAAACAACCAAAACCTGATTACTGATGAAATGAGCTTACATTATCTTCCTTAGTTTCAGCAAAATCTTCATCATCCTGAATCTACCATAATTCTCCAGATATCAGTAATAGTATAAATCACTCAAGTAAAAGAATTAATTACAAGTATACAGCACACAAATATTGACACAGTCTGGCAAATTTAAACAAAATAGTATTTGGCTTCATAAATAACAAAAACTATACACAGGGCATACCAGTGATGCTTGAACCTTCAAATCCTCAACATCAAAATTCCATGCGCTAACTCCTCTCTGATACTCACTCTAATGAAAAAAACCAACAAATATTTCAGATGAAAAATATAATAATAACCAATAAAAAACAGGAATGCACTATCGTGCATCTGTGGAACAAAACTTAGAAAATGGACTAAGGGTTTGTGTTTAGAGGGCCGAGTGCTGTGGATTCCTGCTAGAACCTCACCGAGATGTTGGGGAGGTCTCCTGAAAACTTAGGAGAATCAGGTGAAGGCTGTATGGAATGAGGGACAGATATTGTAATATCCACCGTTTAAGAAGAAAAAATAGTACATGAATACATTTAACGCAATAGAAGTCGTCCCTTCTATAAGTTCATTTCAGTAATGGACACTTACTACTTCTGCAATGGCCAGAAAATGTCTTTGGAAGACAATTGTATTCAAGGAGTTGATAAAAAAGTACATCGAAAATAAAAATGAAAATTTGATTTTTAGTGAACTAGAGAAAATATAAGACAAAGTATCCTGAAAATTGATTTGGTGTACATCAAAAAAAGATGGATAAAATTAAGAAATACTTTTCTTGAAAAATGGATGCATGAGAGTCATGGTCTTTTCTATCCAATTGAAAATCTTGTTGTAAACCAAAAAAGACTGAAAGAAAATAGTAAAGTTCCTTTCACACCTTCAAAAGAGAGGTCAATGAAATTTTGGGAAGATAACTGTATTTAAGATTACTCTTAACTTCCACATTTCCTAATTTATACATGCATTCTTGTTATTGTTTCAGATTTTGTTTACAGGACATCTCTTGACATAAGTGTTATGAATATATATATTTTTTTTTATATAAATGCCCAAGGGCTAATTTCATTGAAATTGAAAAGATACATAGAGGTTGTATGAGAGGACCCAAAAAAAGGTGTCCTACCCATACGATACATCATACACTAGTATCCTAAAAGGATGAAACATAGATAAAACACAAAAAAACAAAACTTGCAGGAAATAAGCTGCTACGCACGAGCCAGTTTGGTCTTGCCTCTGCCTCTGGTTCTAGGAGCGGAGACAGCTAAGAAATTGCCGAGTGTCGTTCTATTCCCCGAAGTTACTAGAGTATCATCCATTAAATTCCCAAGATGGGGTGTGCCTCCATTCTTTTCTTTCTTTCTAGATGTGTATACCTGTCATTCCTCATCCGAGGACTGGCTCATCTGATCGGTGTGGTCAACAGATTGTTGGGCATGTAGGAGAAAATGAGCCCCCAGCTCCTGACTAGTAATAACAACATTCTGATTCTGATAAGATGGTAAGCATTTCTCTTCAATACCTGATGCATCCTGGGGATGTGGAGCTTCAATACTATCCTGATTATCGGACCCAAGTAAACCATCTGTCAATATATCAGTCGGAAGACAGAGACAGTATTGTCTCTGGTAATGGGAGGGGGAGGTGACATTGTTTCAACCGATGTTTCAATAGTCTGTGAAATGCACTCAGGAGCGAAGGATGAACAGGTATGAGGTGGGACAGATCCATAAGCGTTTTTACTTGAAGGTTTTAAATTCGGTTGCAACAGATAACATTGAGAAGGAGAATGTCCAAACATACGGCAGTGAGTACAATAAAATGGTATCTCTTCAAGTTATGCTTGCTCCAAAAATCCCTGATGTTGTGTGTCAATCCATATTTCTCCCGAAAAAGGTAAAGTAATATCCCTTTCTATCAAAATTCTGGCTTCTGAAGGCCGAGTCAAATTCACTGTAGGTGTGTCAGCTTTGAGGGGTTTACCGTATACCATCGCTAAAGCGAAAAGAAGCTCTTGATCAAAAAGGTGGATCTTCAAACCTGGGAAGCGCAGCCAAACAAGAATGGTAAGAGGTTCGAGGAGGTTTAGTATGAGAATCAAAATCCACTGTCCATTTTAAAATCTTCATCACCTGGTTTTCTATTCAAAGAAGTCTTCTCGCAAATAAATGGGTGTAGTCTTCGTCATTTAATAATTGAATAAAAATGTGGCGACCATCCAATTTACCGATCTTCCAACCCCCTTTCAGCATCATTTGCTCAAAGTCCTTTCGAATTAGCTCAAGTTTAGGGTTTCCATAAAGAAACTTACATACTAAGAACAGTCGGCCGGGCGCAGCTAGGGTGGAGATCTCTGCCTCAGTGAGAAAGATTACAAGTTTACCGTTTTTACGGGAAGCTTTTTTGAGAAATCCGGTTTCAATGCCAAGAGCAAAATTGTCGTGGTATCGTTGCGAAAACATATTTGAAAGAGGAGCGGAGACGGGGTTATCAAGTTGTTGATCGGCACAGACAGCGCAGGCAGCCGCGAAATCTGGCGACTGAGCACAGCTGAGAACTCGCGACGAAGAAGTCAGGAGAGCCGTACAAAGCCGGGAGTGAAGCGCAACTGACAGACGCACGACACTTCGAGCGTGACAGTGAGCGACGAACGGGAGCCGCAGAAGCGCGACCGCAGGGCTGACAGACCCGCGTAACAGTGCGCGACGAAGAAATCAATGCCAAACGATGCGGATGAAGTGCAATGGAGAAGAGATATGACGAACTGCAATCGACGAGGAGACCAGGTTTAGCCAAGATAGCGAAACCCTAGCTGAAAGAAATCGACATATATATATATATATAGATATAGATATAGATATGTGTGTGTGTATCAAAGCAAGGTTTAGGACTTAAATATAAAAATATGTAAAATTTATGTGGTATGTATGTATATCTTCCAAATAAAAACATGGACTAAAAATGCATAAAAATCTTTAAAGACAGCATGCAAATAATTTTCAACAGTCCGACTAATTTGGTCTAAGAAGTTTGCCCATCAAGCAAGAAAAACAATTCAGTTCGCCAAAGTCAAAAGTTTTGGAGGTTTTTTTTTCAAGAATTCAAATAATATGTCCGGAAACAAGAAATTCTGTCATAATTTCCTATGGAATTAAAGAACTAATGCTAGAGGGATGCATTATATCGCCTGGGATGACCTTTGCAGGCCAACCGACATGGGTGGGTTGGGTTTTCGTGCTCCTACCAAATGGATTGAATTCTTGAAGGCTCGCATGGCTGGGATTACATTTCCAACTGAGATACTCTCCTCCAAAAACTGCTCAAACAGAAGTATGGGCTAAATATATGGGCTGTTATACCCAAAAGAGGTGACTCGGTCACCTGGAAGGTGATCACGGCCGGTGTGGGCACCCTTAAAACATTGTGCAATGGAGAATTTCAAATGAAAAGGACATAAGCATTACTATTCATACTTGGGTGCATGACACCCGTTCGCTAAATTGCCATCATTTATAAATATGCAGGCTGTGGAAGGAAAATACGTGGAGACCCTTATTGACAATTCAGGTTAGAATGCCCAACAGCTTAGTCAATTTTTCGGAAAGGAACTATGCAACAGGATTTCCAAAATCCAAATCCACCTCATCTATGCTGTGATCAGGTGGAACTGACACAGGCACTCTCTCCGAAAACTATTACTGTTCTCATTTACGAAGCTTCTCTGGGAACTCACCATAGCAGATTTCAGTGGCTTAAACGGCTTAAGATTCACCTGTGTGAAAGATTATTTTGGTGGAGAGTTAGCTTGGATGCTCTCCCAACTCTCTGTTGGCTCAATCAGAGGGATATTTTGGAGGTTACTTCCTGCCCGTGGGGCTGTGCCGATCAAGAGAATATTGAACATGTCACCACGAGATGTAAAATTCTTATGGAAGCTTTATGTAAGCTGCAACAATGGGGCTTCCCCATAGCCACTTTCAAGTGCCTAGATGACATTATTGAAGGTATTCACTACTCAGAAAAAAGTAAGCCTGGGCCTTAATTTGCCTATTGCAAGCTAGTGTAAAAATGTTAGCTGGCTCGGAATGCCAAAAAACATGGTCCGGCATTCGGTAATCCTACTATTCTCGCCTCAAATGCGTTGGAAGCTATGACCGCTATCAACAAATTTCATTTCCCGAAGCAATGGGACAGCAATCAGTCTAGCGAACTGTGAACCAATCAGTCTAGTGGACAGTTCCAATTTTCCAAGTGGCTGAAATTTAATGAGGATGGGCCCTACTTCCCTCCCACAGGGGTGACATCAGGATTGTCCTCCGAGATGGATTGGGTAATGTGCTACTGGTCGCTGCCAAGCCTTTTGAGCAGTGGGATATCGCCTATGTGGAACTTCAGATCATTTCTTCAATCAAGCAATTTATCAAGTCATCGAAGTACGAAACTAAAGGCATCATCATCAAAAGTGATAACTGCAACATTATCTCATCCCTTCAACAACCCAACTCTTATAAGATATAGAGGGCTAAACCGCAATTTACTGAAGACTTCTCTTTTTTGCCGCTTTTAGACAAGTTTTGTTTCAACATAATGATAGAAACAAAAACATGACTGCACATGTTTTTGCCATGTTTTTGCTCACAGAGCTTTACTTGATAGCTTTTTTGACATGAGTGTGGATAGTTCCCACATCCTTTTCCCTTTTGTTAATTTTAATCGAGCCCATCTTCTTATTGGTTTGATTTAGGGTTTTTGTAACCACTCTTTTTCATTATTAATGCTATATGCACATGTTCAAGGAAACCAGAAATGACTATATGAAGAGCAGGTAGCTCTCACCAGGTCCCTCGCCAGCCACCCTCCAACATCTCTCCATGACCAAAATCCCATCAGCCCAAATCCATCTCCCCTCCCACTCCGTCACTTCTGCTCCGGTCACTCCCATGATGATTTCTTTGCATCCTGATAAACATTTTTGCAAGCTCATCAGTTTCCACTTCTCTCAATCTTTTCCCTTGCTCATCTAACCATGTATCTGACTCGCCACAGCAATGAGCAGCCAACACCGCTGACAAAGTGGGGCATCTGCATTGTCCCCGAGAAGGCATACATGGTGAAATGCTTCGAGAAGTATCGTAAATGAAGGCAATCTCAATCCCAAACTAGTCTGCCATCACCTAGAAAAATGTTAGCATACTCATTGATGGATTTTTGTACGTAAAGGTATGTATTCTACTCTTAGGGATGCGACTTTTGAGTGATTTGGCAAGTTTTTTAATGATTCAAGCATTGCTCATGGTTTCTTGAAGATTGTTGGCCTGTTTCTTGCTTCTTATAGAGTGGGGAACTCAATGTTTGTGATGATCCAGCTGGTCCAAACAGCAACGAGGAGTGAACTTGGGAAGATTACTCTTGATAAAACATTTAAAGAGCGGGATGTTCTCAATAAGAGCATTGTGGTGCATTTTAAAAGTTTCAAAGGTATTTTATTAAGGTGACCTGCCTTTAATAATGTGTTACTTGAATTTCTGGTAATACCGCAATCGTGAATTAGCTTAATGAAAATGGTGGTTGATCTTGTAGATTTTAGTAATTTTTCATATGATATAACAGCTGAGTTGGTATTATGTTTCAGTTTCTATTAGAAGGTTATTTGCATATTTAACAATCATTTCCTATTTTACTGAGAACTGAATTACTACCAAAATTTTATTTAAGAAATGATTAATTCACGAAGGGGATGTTTGGCCTGTAGAATTAAGAGTGCACTGTAAAAGGAATGCAAGGGTTTTAAGAATTCTAGCGTTTGGCCAAAAAAAGAATAAATGGAATATAAAATTAGCCACGACTAATCGGCCACCCCACGCGGGCCTTTTCACAATTGCCACCACCTGCCAATGCTGCCAACAATCGTACTATACATTGATTTTGTTTTTCTTCAATTCAAATACCAAAATATAAAGCCTTGCATTTATTTTATATTGAACCAAACAACTCAAAAATATCTAAAATGCATAATATTTCAACTATATTGTGTTACTCTTACACTACATCCATCTCTCAACAAACCAAACAGCCCCTACATGTGACACGGGAGTGCTCCCACTTCGGACACGAGGCGCAAGCCGTGACTCCCGGACAATCGCAGAAGACGGGAGATGAGAGACGGGTCGAGAGTATCGCTTTCATTTTTTTTATGCTTTCTTTTCTATTATCCTTCATACATTTTTAGTCGTTTCATATGTATGTGTTGTATTAGACTTTGAAAGTCAATTTTTTCGTGAGTTTTGTGCGAGACAGCTGTCGACATCTCTCCTTTCTCTGTAAGGGTTGTATCTAAGGATTTGGGTGGTGGTTTGACTATGTCTCACTCCAGAGATGGGGATTATCTTCCCTAATCCCTTCTGCATCCTCCCCACATCACTTCCGTCCACCCTCCATTGTTGCAACCGTCTCTGAACAGCTACCTGCTTCTGATTCCCTGCCAGCACCCCCAGCTGTCCCTACCACTTGCTATTGTCGTTACTTGTTACTCTATTGTCCCAGCCACTTCTGCCAGCTGTCAACCCTCACAGCCGCCCCAAAATCCCTCTACTATTCCGATGCCACCACCAAACAGCAAGTTGCTACTGTTTGACTTGCTATTCTTTGCTGTCCACTACCTTGTTGATGCCACCCAAACAACAAGGTGTCACTGCTGGTCTTGCTGTCCTCTTGCTCTTTCAGCACATTCTTGCATGCTGCCACCGAGGACCACAAGCCACCATTGTTGTGTTGTTGTTTCCCCCACAGTCCCGCCCCTCTTCTACCTTGCCGCTACCTTTCCAAACCCCTAACAGTCACCACCACCACCCTAAGATCCACCTTGCGGGAGTCTGTCTGTCGTTTTCCCTTTTGAAGTGTGTTTAGGTTTTAATCACATGCTTGATTTTAATAATAACATTTGTTTTCCTATTGATTATTTGGGCTAACTCCAGTATCAAAATGACATTCTGATAGCATTCGAGGAATGGAAGAGATGAACCACTACAAAAAAATGGGTCATTATTAGACTCCCAAACAGGTAAAAAATTTATCTTGATTCTAAACTATTAATGGCATTGTTCTATTCTTCATAAAAAGAAAGAATAGTCAGCACATTTGAAACTTAAGTGCCATCTGATCCATGAACTAAAGAGGTGGAGGAAATTAAATGAAAATCAGTCTCACTCTCAATAGTCAGGAGGCACTAGAGCTCAATAGAATAGGGTCAATCATGCATCCAGATAGGGGCCAAAAACCAGAGTATCTCTACCCCTAAACAACCTCTAATTTTTTCCAGCAGATGCTGACGATTTTGAACTTACAATTAAGATAATAATAGGGAATTCATAAGCTCCATTGGGTTCCTGCAAAGTAGATTGAATCGCTATTCGACTCCAAATTCAAACAGTAAAACAAAATATACAGCCTTCATTTTCTTCAGATGCTAAAAATATATCTTCCTCAAGGAACACTTGCGGAGATTTTTTCAAGAGTTCATGCATGCTCTGGTTTTACAAATGGGTTTCCATCGTCATGAAGTCACATATAAGATGCCTATGCTGTATAAACTGTATTGTAAGCTTTCCACACTAATAAAAAATGAGATAAATTTGGTTTTTGTAACGCAAAACTTGAAAAAAAATTTTAATAAATGAAGCCTATGCCTCAACAGGTAAAGTTAATATTCAGATTTATAACACTGGGTACTGTCTGAGGCAATTCTCCAGCGCGTTGACTAGACACTAACATAAAGAAAGCAACAATCGAGGTGAATGGTGAACAGTGCATCATCATCAGGTTTTCAAAAGAACACTTTTTGATCTTATGGAAGGATACATTAAAAAAAAAATTAACGTTGCCATATTTTCAAAAGAAATGTAGCGTGGCTTATGTGCAAATTGCAAACATTGTGCAACATATATTGTTTAAATACAAAAGGCAAAAGATTTTCTCACCAATATACCTACTGCACAGACAAAAAGAGTTGCAAAACGAAGGTGTGATCGTGCTGTACTAATCAAGTTTCAGTTGAAAAAGATAAGACATTTCAACTGTTCATCAAGTAGACTGACATCAGTGTTACGTATAGCTACAATATTTTTTTTTTCATTCCCTGCTACTACTTTTTGCTCCTGTAAAGTTGAATTTTTAACTACAAGCATAGAAAAAAAGAAAGCTAATAATATTCCCTTACCAGTATTATGCTATTTTCTTAAGGCAGTATGTAATAGACCTAAAAAACGATTTATGACTGAAGAACAAACAGTGGATATCGAGGTAAGGAATTTTTGTTTAAACACCATCAAGTAATTGGCTAACAAGAGAAGGAAAAAAAAAACAATACCGAATATCAGCAGCCGCAAATAATCAAATTAATTCAATTCAATACAAGAATGTTTAGACACAAACAGGTTCCCATGTGCCTTTCATCTAGTAAACATTCATCAGTTCTCAGTACAATTGCAACATTTATTTTTGTCTCCCTCGTGCTCATTCTTCTAGCGGAAATGTTCATTTATAACAATGAGCAAAAATAGTGGTGAGTTAATAATATTTTCTTACAATTAATATGACATTCTCTTAAAAATGCTAGTATCAAATCTGAAAATGATTAACGATTAAAAAAAAGTGAAAATCCAAGTAAACAAAATATTGTTTATACCCTCTCATGTAATTGGCACAAAAAAAGTGTAAAAGAAAAATAAACAAAAAACCAGCAGCAACAAACAAGCAAGTTTCAATTCAATGCGGGAATGTTTAATCAGCATTCTGGTTATCATATGCTATGATTGAATGTACTTGAGCAACAAAAAAAATCAGTAAATATAAATTAGGTAGGAACCTGTGATAATGCTTCCTGTTCTGCTGAAGGCATTTTCTTCAATGCTAGTTGTGCAGCATCTTTGAGCTTAGAAAATATACATTTTATTTAGTAATTAAAATTTGATAAAATGAGGGAATATTTTATTTATAAAGGAAAACTTAGGGACACAAAGATAAGCCACATAGATGGGTGAATAACCTGGAGAGCCTTTACACGATCCCACAGTGGAGGTAGATCAGCAAAATGGCTTTTCACTGTCAGCTCAGGAGGCTTTGCAATTTTGAAAAATGTGTGCTTCAACAATTTTTCAGCCGTTGGCCTTTTTGTTTGATCTTTGACCAAGCACATTGCAACCATTTCTTTAAAAGACTGATTACAGCTGAAAATTCTTTATTAGAAAAATAATCAAGAGATAATCCACAATGTAATCACACCATGCTTCTATAAAAAACATGAATCTCATCATGCCAGACTATCCAAAAGAAAATTTTTTTAGACTATTCAAAAAATTTTTGAATGCATTGACCTTAATATTAACCATTTCCATAGCCAAAAGGACACAGTAGTACCTTTGAGAACCTTTTATCACGATCATAATCTAGTCCAGGAGGAGCATTTTGGAGGGTCATCAATAAAACCTACGATTACAGGTTAAGAGTACCAAAATCAAATTCTTTCCAGGAGTATCAATTACCAATAAAATCTTCAGAACCGTCACAATCCAGATCATCACAAAGTGCATTTAAATTTTCAATACTGAAAGAAAGTAACTGCGAGAGTCGCATAGATAAGAGAACTTGCTTGTAGAATAAACCAAGTGATGTGGCTTCTGAAACACTAGGGGTGGACGTGAGCACCTCAGAACTAGTCCTAGCCGGTTTCTTCCCTGCCAGTTCAGAGAATTGTTATTTCGTTGAACTGGTCAGCCTGCCGTCTGCTTTTTATTTTCTTTATTTAAATTATTATCAGGGTATTTGACACGGGCGTCCCACCTGCAACACTGGATGATGCGGGAGTCGCGTCTGCTGCATAGACTGAGCTGGTCAGGCCTTCCGAGGAGTCGGCCAGTCCTCGTGAACCACTCCTGGTCATTCTATTATTATAAATTTGCTTTCATGATGTCTTAGGATTAGTTTTTTTGTGTGTTTATTCGAGTCAGATGTCGGCATCACCGGTTTTCTTTTCTATGGTTGTATCCAAGGGTCGACTAGTGCTCCGGCAGTATCTCACTTTTGACATGGTGATTTCCGTTCCCTCTACCCCTCTGCATCCTTCCCACACCGCTTCCAACAGCCCTTTATTGCTGCAGCTGCCAGGAACAGCGCCTCTTTGCTGTCTACCTGCATTTCCAGTCGTAGCAGCCACCTCACTCCCTTTCCTACTCAGCCACTCCCAGAAAATTGCTCCAACTGCTGTCATACCTCGTCTTAGCACCCTGGAATAGCCGCCTATTGCTGTTCCTGCCTTCCCAGCCACTCCACTTCTTCCTTGTTGCCACAAAAGCACAAACCACCCACTCTTTTGCTGCCCCTACTCCAGGCAGCCCTCCCGCACCATTTCCTGCAGCTTGCTTGGTGTCCAGAACCTGGAAAACAGCAGCTTTGTTGTTCCTGCTTGCCTACCGCCCCTTTTCACCACCAAAACACCATCCAGACTCTTGTCCACCGCCTTCATCCTTCAATCCAACCCTAGTGGGAGCCCGTGTCATGATTATGTTGCAATTTCATATTTCTGTTTTGTGTGGTTGTAAGTTTCTATTTGATTTCAGTAATAATATTTAATTTTCCGGTTGTTATTGGTTAACTCCGATAACATTTGGTATCAGAGCTAGGTTATTTCTAATCTTATCCTCAGGTTACCAAAATTCCCCCACACCCTTGCTAATCAGCCACCCAAAACTTTTATATTCCACCATAAATCACCTCCATACATCCTTATTCACTTCCTCAAACATGAACACTAACCACGCCACAAAGGAGAATTGTCGAAAACATAATCGAGATGAAATGACTCAATGTCGTTTATGAGAAATCCAAAAAGAGAAATCCTAGAACCTACCATGGAAGAGCTGCAACAGGAAATTCTCTCACTGCAACAAAGGCACGCACCTGTCAAGAGGAGACAATTCAGAGGGGTCACCTGTAGCAGAAATGAAAATTAGTAAGATCGAAGGAATATAGTGAATCCCTTCCACCGAGTAGATTCCAGGCACGAAAGACCACTACACGAAGATTTGGAGGGACATATAAGAGAAGTCATGATCCTAAACTAAAGATGAATTTATCGGATTTTGACGGTCGCATGGAATAAAAAAAAAACTCTTCCAGTGGCTCCAAGTGGTGGAACATGTCTTTGATTACCAAGACATCCCACCAGACGAAATGGTAAAACTAGCCTTCATTATGTTAAAGGACACATCTTTGTGACGGGAGACTTCGAAGCTTCTTCCATAGCTGGAAGAGAAATAAAATTACTACATGGTCCAAGATGAAATGAAAGATGCAACACAAGTATCTACAAGTTCATTATAGACAAGACACCTGCAACAACAAGATCTCTCAGCAAAGGAGTACATAGCTAAGTTCAAGCAGCTTATATTAAAATGTGGGCTAGTGGAGCCCAAGGAGAATACCCTAGCTCGATATTTGAGGGGACTGAGATTATCTATTGGCAATGTAGTGGAGTTGCAGCCTTATCAAAGATTATAAAATGTTCAGATCTTGACCTTGAAGGTAGAGAGAAAACAATAAGTGACCACCACATTTTACGGGCAGAGTTCAACCCCATAATTAAGTAATAAGAGTACACTCAACCAAACATCCAAGCAAACCCTACCTGAGAAGAAAATAGTTTAGGGTGGAGAACAGGTGGAGCCAACAAGCATTCTCAAATTCATATGAGCCAGTAAGTGATTCAAGTGCCACGGATTTAGACATATTGAATCAGATTTTCCAATCAAGAAAACGGTCAATTTCACTGAGCAAGGATCAGTTGAAAAAATAAACAGTGATATAGAAGAAGACATCAAAGATGAGTCTCAACGACTAGCTAACGAGGAAGAGACACTAACAATTGAAGCTGAGCCCATGATTGGAACTCTTGATGGATTAATATTAGTTGTTCTTGAAGATAGTGAGTCCAATGAGCCGATAACTGAAAAGGGCCAACCCTTGTCAAGGAAATTCTCAAACAACAGGACCGACAATTTACCTATTCCATGGTTGCCACTAGAAGTGGTTGAACATGCCACAGATTTCATTCCAGAGTTAGTTCCTTCAAACAAATTTGTTTATCGGATGAACCGAGCAAAATATAGAGAGTTTCCAAGGCTAAATACAAATTCAACGACTTGAGAGTAAATTTGAAACTATATGCCTATATGCAGCTTGACATAGCTCGGCCTGAGACTTGGAATCCACTAAGACGAGAACAAACAGTCAGCCGATATTAATCAAACTTTCTTATAATTTTTTGTTATCACTATTAATGATTCAAAAATGGTAGATGAAAGAGCCACTAGAAATTTAATTAGAACAGCTATAAATTTATCTTAAGTCGGGTTGTTCACGTCTTATATAAATATTGATTCTCTGTTGTTCATCCTTTAATCAATAAATTAAACCTGAAATGTTGGTTTAAAATAACAGTGAGATAATCAAAGTCGGTGAATACTCATGCTCCAAAACTACAGTAACACAATAAAAAAATAATAATAGGCATGTCAGTTAAACTTTTAATAAATAAGTATAAAATATTTGATACTTTATAAAATATTTGATACTGATACTTTATGAATATGATCACTCACGATATTTCATAATATTTAAGGTGTTTTGTTATATCAATAATATGTCTATATCAATTTATATATGTACAGTCATCGCAGGAGTGTCATTTAAAAATTATATAAGTTAAAGCACTTCAATATCAACATATTTTCCATTTACATGTACGAATTCTCTACTAATACTAAATGAGTAAACTTCATTATAGTCAATCATGCAAATGCAAGCATACTATAATAATAACTATCTAATAATGATATTTCATTGTCATTTGTATAGCGGTTAGTATACTTGTACATGATTTAATATTAATGATAAGTTAAGCAATGTTGAGTACATATGTCATTTCTAGAATATGAATAAAAATTCAATAGATCAAAATGCAGTAATATAAATATAACTAATACCAATAACAGTAAATACATTTGGTTGAGAAGAATCAAAATATTAATATAGCATAAGAACATGAGTACTCACTTCAATTACTGTTGATTCTCTTGTCAATCGTTCTCTTCACCTATCTCTAATAAAAATCTATAATCAAATACATAAGGAATTGTTATTAATTTATTATAGGTTAATCATATTATTAGAAGGCAATTTGTCTTTATTTTACCTTTGATGTATCATATAATAATAACTATTTATTATTATTATGCTAATTGGTATCCATTTCATAATATAAATTTAACTAATTCTTTCAAACAATTTAAACTTAATAAAATTTTGACAATAAAGTCCTAACTTAATTTTATAGTTATTTTATGTAATTTATATATTTTCAAATAGATTTTAAGATTTCTAGTAATATACATACATTTATATTATATAACAATTTATTGTTATTATTCATTCACATTAAATTCATCATATGTAACATTAGTTCATAGATTTAATAAACAATTAAAACTTTAAAAAACAAACCCTAACATTTCTTTGTTGTCACCCTTTTGTCTATCAAAAAATGAAACTTCTATAGATTGATCTCCTCCCTTACTCGTACGTAAAGCTTTCTTGCTAACCTCCCTGACCTCAATTAATATAATATTAATATTAATACAAAATTATATATTAATTAAAATAGCAAAGCAAATTATATATTAATTAAAATTTCCACTACAGCCTTACTGGTCCTTGAGTGACGTCTAAACTTTAGCACTGAATGTGGAGAAATATCAAAGCAGATTAGGCACCCATAGTTGGAGACATCAGTGGAGCACACCAAAGTTGATAAGTCTAGTCAAGAGAAGAGCAACACCCCCAGTACTTTTCCCGTCAAAAAAATGTTTTAGATGCCAAAGTTTTGGACACATCGCTTCCAGTTGCCCGATAAGCCGACTTGTAGCCTTCACTATGTAGGGTGCAGTGGAGGAAGCAAGCAAAGAAGAGGCAGCTGGAGAACAAGGTGAGTACCAACTTCCACCATAAGAGGATGAGATGTTGGTGGTTCGATAGATCCTTTAAATTGAGACTACGAGAGAGCAACATTGGCTTCACAACATATTCTACACCTGTTACATTGTGAAGATAAATGTATGCAGTCTCATTATTGATAGAGGAAGTAACATGAATGTGGCATCTACACACGTGGTGGACAGGTTACGCCTCACGAATCAAAAACACTCACAACCATACTCCCAGACATGGTTAAGGAAGAACAGACGGCATTAACAATAAGTGCCTCGTGGAGTTTTTGATTTAGAATAAGTAGCAGAATCAGGTTTAGTGCGACGTAGTGCCTATGGACGTCTGCCACATGTTATTAGGAAAACCGTGACAGTTTAATTTCTAGACAGTACAAAAGCACCATTCGCCAATGATGAAAAGTGTATCGTTATCATACCTTCGGCGAAGTCTGAGATTACAAGTGCTCTTGCCAAAGGAAAAGCGAAGGCGGGATTAGTTTTGGTGACCATGATAGGACGGGAGCCCCGATTCCAGACATAGGAATAATCACTACATAGAGCATTTGAGGACATCATAATTGATTCCGTACTGCCATGGTCACCACAGGTCGGGGAGGTTTAGGTTTCCATCACTTCATATAAGATTGAGCCCATCCTAAGTTACTTTGGGAGGGTTCAACAGAATAAACATAACCTAAAGTCCCAGTTAAAATCAGTTGTGTACTTACATAAAATTGTACCGATATGGATGTATGGTAGCAAGTAGAGGAAACTCCTGAGGTGTTTTGGGGGACAGTGCAGTCGCCAATGTGATCAAGGTGTTCTCAGGCTGCAGTTGAGAGCATTCAGTCCCGGGAGATCACAACAGCTCTGTCACATTCAACGTGGTTGGCCAAATGGCACCCTATGAGATCAAAGTTTCAACGGATAATGTCAGAGCTCTCTCAACCCAAGGAGGCTGACACAAGAGCACTCCTGCATTGGACGAGAACCGCAACTACCCCTAATTGCGGGAGACAGAAGACGTGTCGAAATAGTCTCATTTTCCTTTTTCATATTTTCTTTCCTATTATCCTTCATTCCTTTTAAGTTATTTCCTATATATGTATTGTAATAGGGTTTGGAAGGGAGTTTTTCTGGTTTTCTGTCGGGCAAGCATTGGCATACTGATTTCCAATATACAAAAGCTAGAAGGTGCTCCGGCAATAAATCTTATTGAATGGCTAGCGACACCCCCCCCCCTCTCTCTCTCTCTCTCTCTCTCTCTTTCTCATAGATACTTCCCTTTTCCTCGCTGCAGTCGCCCAAGACGGCAGCCTGGTTGCATTCTTCCTGCAGATCAACCACCCAGCAACCTATTCCCCTCATTCCAGCCGCCGTTTCCATGCTGCCACCACCCAGAACAGCACTTTCAGCTGTTCTTCCCGTAGTCCAACCCACTTCCTTCCTTGAAACAGCAAATGGCTGATTCCACGCTGCTGTTTTTCCTCATTCCAGCTGCCCAGGCTATCTCATCTACTCTCTGGTGTTCATCCTTAACCAGCAAACCATCTAAGTTCGGCAAAGGCAAATATTGCTGTAGTTTTACTTCCCTCACTCCTAGCCAGCATAAGTATCATCATCATGAATTGGAGAATGTGGTTGCTGTTGGAGAACAACTGCAGCATTCGGACTCTACCAAAGTTCAGATTCAAGACATCCTTTCCCACAAGCATATTGTTGAGCCTTGGATGCTAGAAGGTTATGATATTATTATTGAAGAGGGAAACGACAACATCAATTTCTTGAGTAAGATCTCCGAGGCTCACACCTAGAGGTCCAAACTACATGACACTTTTACTGATTTTATAAATTTGAGAGTTTTTTCTCTGACTATTACTCTTCAGAATGATTTTTCTTCTGAATTTTGTATCATCTTCCTTTTGCTAGTGATGTATCTATATCTTGCTTAAGGCATGTATCTCTCAATTTCTCCATCCAACTTGCTACTTTCAGCCAGAATAGCAGCCGATGACATCAAACCTCCTGTCCAACAATAAATTTATCCTGACAAACCCGTCCAAACATAGTTGACCCACACATATTAGCCTTCTATAGTTAATCCACAACCACCTTTACTTGAAATCCACATCTAAAATATCTTCTAGGAGCTTAATAACGGTATATCAAAAATTAAAGCCCAACAAACCTTAAATTTTTAGGGATTCACCATTCCTACATCTACCCAAAAGTCTATGTTATCTAAATCATCGACCAACTCAATATCTTAACCATCTCTTCCATAAATTCTCAACCTAAACAAAAAATTTTCAAAATTCAACATTTTCACCTCCACGAAAATTTTACCCCAACACCCAACCTTTATTTGCAAATCTACATCAGCCGAAAGCATAATTGATAGGAAAGGATGTCATGCCGCCAACGAGAAGCCCTGAGCTAAATGTCCAGAAACTTGCTATAGAGAATATGCAACAAGAAATCCTCTAACTATAACAGAGGATTGCAGCCTTTGAGGGGAGACAATCCAGTGAGATCACCTATAATCACAACTTTGACCCATCAGATCAAGAGGGAAACTGAATCCTTTCCACCAAAAGAATTTTAGCGACGAAAGTCAATGCCATGTCAACTTGGCATTTAATATCAAAGGAGAGTCCAAATTTTTGGAATGAGAATTAAATTGCCATATTTTGATAGTCACGTGTTTCCGGATGAATTCATCGAGTGGCTTTAAGCAATAGAATGAATCTTTGGGTTTAAGGATGTTCCACTGAGCACAAGAGTAAAGTTAGCAGCCATTAACTTAAGGAAGAGTGCATTTTTTGTGGTAGAAAAATTTAAAAGTGTCTTCAATAGTGGGGAGGGAAGAGTAAAATCGTCACATTGTATAAGGTGCCATGGGAAATGCAATGCAAATATCTTCCACCACATTACTGGCATGAAATATTCATAAAACTCCACCTACACCAGAGAGATTCTTCTGTGGAAGACTACACAGCTGAATTTGATCAACTTATGTTGATATGTGAGTTGGTGAAGCCTGAGGAGCACACAATAGTGAGGTATCTTGAAAGACTAAGGTCTTCTATTGAGAATGTAGTATAGCTGCAACTGTATTAGTCCTTACTCGATGTATAGACCCTAATTTTGAAAGTGAAGAAACACTAACGTCATCAGGTGACCGCCACACCTTATAAACCATGTTCAAACCCAAGATCAAATAGTAGGAGTACACCAAGTGGAGCGTCCAAACCAACTCAGCCCAAGAAAGAGTTGGTTTAGAATGGAGATCAGATGGAGACAATCACCACTTCCAAATCCGTCCCAACCAAAAAGTGCTTCAAGTGCAACGATTTTGTGTATAATGTATCAGATTGCTCAAATAAGAGTATGATCTCTTCGACTAAGTAGAGAGTAGTTGAAAAAATGACAATGACAGAGGAGAGACATCATAATGTCTCAACTTCCAACATATGAGGGCGAGAAACTAGTAATTTAAGCTAAGCTCATGACTCTAGCAAGACCAATATTGGTTTTCCTAAAAGATGATAAATCTAAGGTACTAAGCATTCATATAGATTTTGAGTATGTTGTGCCACAAACTATCTTTTTGCAAGACTTGAGAGAAGCCCCTAAAAAACTAATATTAGTTGTCCAAAAAGACAGTGAGTTCAAGGAACCAATACCAAACACAGAGCAGCTGCTACATATCAGGATTTTTAGACATATTGTCTACTTTCTAAATCGACATTGCAAGAGAAGATCCAACATATCATCACTTCTAAAATATCTTTTAAAACCTAGATAGAATAAGCCGAGTGATGAGTTCCAGTTCAATTCAGCAATGCACCCACTGACAAATGGTCATGCAAGAGTAGACCGTAGCTTTGAAAAAAATCGCATGTATTTTGTGAGAAAGAAGAACCAAAAGTGGGATCTAAGTGTTTTTAGAAAAGCAGTTTCTCCTAGCCTGAGAGAATGATGCAGGAGCATCTTTTCGCATTTCATGTCACACGGGATGGCAAGATCTCGCATATGTGCAGGATCGCGATAACACTCATGATCTCAGGAAAAGATTTTGGCTCCAGATATCTGCGTTTGTAATTCAACTACATTGTTTTTCCTTATTGGCTTATTTCCTATTTCTTTATTTTTTTTATTCTTTATTCCTATTTTTTTATTTCTAATTAGGTTATTTTCTAATATGGGACTTTTATATATGCTGTATTAAGTTTTTGGATTTTAAATTTTGCTAATTTTCAATACATACTAATATGAAGTGTTATGCATTTGAATGAGATCACATTATTGTTTGAAGAGATCAGTTATTAGAGCATTTAGTGCACCTTGCAAACTATGCATAATGCTTAATTATTTCGTATCACATAATTTCTTTAACCTTACCAAGCAAAATCCATATTTCAAGAATCATATTTTTTCACAAGTACAATTAAAAAAAATAAATAAAATGTTATACAATACCTTCATTGGAGGGTACTTGGAGAAAGGAGCATGACCATGTGCCAACTCAAGTGCAGTGATTCCAAATGACCAGATGTCAGCTCTAATTAAAAGAAAAAAATACAAGCTTCAGTGCACCTTTCAAACAGAAAAATGCTTCCAACCAACATAGTGGACCACACCACATGCAAGATGGCAATAAAAGTTTAATCATAAAGAGAAGAAGCCAAATCGCCTAAAAAACATAGTAAAATGGTGAATAGTCTTCCTTTTAACAGAGAATTATAGGAAATCAAATCAGTATCATTATAAGGATAGTATATGCGCCCCAAATATTAAGTGTAGCACAGGCATGTAAAATTAATCTACATGAAGATAAAGTAGCAGATAACATCACCTACATATTTATCCTTTAAGGATAAAGTATACTAATTGCTACCAAATTAACTAAAAAAGAAGTTAATATTCACTTGTGGTAATGCACACTGACACTATACTCCTGTTACCTGGATGAGCAATGTTTGAAAGTTAGAGACAGAACATTATGGTGGAATCAGTTTAAGCACAACAATTCAAGGAACAACTGACCAATAAAAGTTTAAACATCATTTTTTGCTATTATTTTGTAAGTATGGACCTGGACGAGTTCCTATCACCTAGATTGGGCAATAGAAATAATTTAAAAATGTCTTAAAGAAAAAGTTTGAGCAATTCTCATAAGAGAAGGTTTCCTGATAGGAGCTAAACTTCGCAAGAAGGATCTCAGTTGTAATTATGGTAAATGCTTACTTGAAATTATACCCACTACCAGGTTGCAGAACCTCTGGTGCCATCCTAACAAAAGAAATTTTAATGAAATTGGGCATGATTACTTGAGAGTTTCGATCAAAAATTATATAAAGACAAAAAAAATTGTAGACCTTACCAGCATGGTGTGCCTACAAAAGTATTCCGTGAAGATTGCCTATCACCCTTGTCAAACATGCAAGCAGTCACACCAAAATCAGCAAGTTTCACAGCACCAGAATTATCAAGAAGGATATTCCCAGCCTGTAATGGGAAGTCTTCATGAATAAGAAGCACTGAAAATTATAAAATGTCAGCAATATTCAACGATAAATAAACTAACCTTGACATCACGATGAATGTGCCCATGATTATGAAGATATTCTAAAGCCTTGAGAGTTTCCTTAAGAATGGACCCAATAACAGGTTCTTCGAACCCATCAGGATAGGCAGCCTTCATCAGATGCAAACATGAACCCTGAGCCATGAATGGCATAACAACCCAGAGGGAGTGTTCGACAACAAATGAGCAAAATGCCTTGATCAAATTAGGGTGGTCTATCAAACTCATTGTTTGAGCTTCTCTTCTTATGTCATCCTAACAGCAATGTTTTGTGTTTTCAATAAGCAGAAAAAATACAGTGCTATTAGAAATTTAAACAAAGAACAATCCGTGAAGTGCTATTAGGGAAAAAACAAAGAATCTGGCTGCTAATTGGAAAACAATAATAATAATAATAATAATAATAAAATAAAATAAAAACCTATTAACCACAATCTATGAATTTTTCTTTAAAGCATCAGTGAGTTGAGTAGGATTGACACGAGATATTTCCAGTTATTTGCCAGATACAATTTGTTCCCTTGTTTTCTTTTTAAAACATCAAAATGTATCTGGAAATATCTTAAGCATCAGCGAGCTGAGCAGGATTGAAATTAGATATTTCCAGGTATGTGCCAGATAGAACTCCTTCCCTTTATTTCTCTCTTTGAAACATTAAAATATACCTATGACACAACTCATATAAACAATGAATGCTTCCTTAATTCATTTCTAGTTTCCATACTTTTGGGATAATTATGAACAAAATGGACTTTACTGGGAAAATATAAGCTTCCATCACCACCATCGTTGGCCATAATATGTGGGTCTGCTTTAGGAATGCATTCTCCATTGGTTCATATTAATTGCTACATGAGGCGTCAAACCTATTTTGGAGCATGTTATCATTAGTTTGTCCAAATTTTTTCATAATTCTTCAACATTAATATGATGAACTCATATCACTGGTGTATCTTTTATCAATCTTTAAATATGCACGTAGCACCTATCCAGTTTCCATCACATCATCATCCACATCTCAAATATTTGGAGTTTTTGTTATAAATCATTATTTTTCCATTCATCCATGGTAAGTGGTATTTGCTCTTAAGCCTATCCATCATAAATAACTTTTATCCATTTAATTATAGATCTATTCCCTTTTCTCCCAAATCCTCGGATAGTAATTTCATCAACTGTTGACCTCACTTTTGATTGAGATCTAGTTTCTTCTTTAGGAGCCTAGGATCTAGCCATAGGACTTTCCTGTTGACTATACCTAAAGGACTAGTGATGGTACCCTCAACAATAAAAATTCTAAATGATTCTTTGTTCATCTTTAAGTTCCACAAGTTAGTTCTAACCTCTAGCACTTAGTAGATGGGACCAATATGGGAGAGCTCGAGAGGAGTTCTCATAGGACTGTTTGACCATAGGGTTAACCAGGGGTGGTGTGGTCTGGGTCAGTCTTGCACACACACACTTACTCTTGCACTCACAACCTAAACCCTAACCTAAGCATGCCTAGCTTGATACCCTACTCTATTGGAAACTCATGTGGATGGTCCCCTAAACCATTAGCCCTGGGCTAGGGTTTGGCTAAGACCAGGACTCGAAGGATCCAAAATGGGAGTTCCTTTAGTCCTATGACTCAAATAGGGTGCCCTCATGATTACCATCCTCAATCAATCCTAATTCTGCCAGATTGCCCCTAAACCCAAAATTTCCCAAAATTTCCCAAAATTAGCCAAATTCTCCAAATCTCTTCAAAAATCATTTCAAACCCTTCCAAACCACTCAAATTGACCAAATACCTCAATTTTTTCAAAATTCACAAGATAACCCCAAAATCCCCAAAATGACATTCATGTCTCTATGGCGTTGAATGAATGTTGGCCTTTAAAAGAGAAGAATAATAAGTTAAGTGTTGTCGAGAGGAGAATGATTAGGTGGATGAGTGGCTTTACACTAAGAGACAAAATGCGAAATGAATATATCTGTGATAGGGTTGGTGTAACTCCTATGACGAACAAAATTAGAGAAATTCGTCTTAGATGGTTTGGTCACATTAAACGTCGACCATCTGATAATCCGATTAAGAGAGTAGATGTTTTAGATTCGACTTGTGTTAAGAAAGACAGAGGTAGACCTAGAAAAACTTGGGCTTATTGTATAAAAAATGATATTAATTTACTAAATTAAATGAAAATATGACACTAAAGAGGACGCAATGGAGAAAAAGGATTCATGTAGCCGACCACACGTAGTGGGATTAAGGCTTTGTTGTTGTTGTTGTCGCCATCGTCTCAAAAATTTTAAAAATTCCAAAAATTCTCAAAAATCTCCAAAATCACTCCAAATATCCCTAAAATCAATTTGAACCACTTCATTAAACCTAATTTGACCAAACTGACCCATTTTGAGCAAAATCCCCAAATTTCCCTTAAATACCCAAATTCCCCAATTCACTCCCAATCTCCACTAAATTAATTGCAATCTCCCCCAATTTCAATTCTAAACTCAAATTCATCATCCCCAATCTCAATTGAAAATCAAATCCAAACCCAATTGAACCTATTTTCAAGTCCAATTTCAATCTTAATCCAAAAGCCCCAATTTTAGCCATACACTCAAATTCCCCGCAAAGTCCCCGAATTGAACCCCATGATCAAATCAATTTCCCAAAATTTGCACTCTAAATTCTTCATAACACTTCCCCAAATCAGTTTGAACAATCAATTGACCAAAATTAGAATTCAAAGCTCGCCCAAATCCAACTTGAGCCAAAATCCCCAAATTTGCACTAAAGCCCAAATCACATCAAATTGAACCTCCTAACTCCAAAATTTCCACCCAATTGATACCTAAAAATCATCATAAAAATCTTTTAGATCAAATTGAACCATCAATTGAACCATATCCAAACCCTAGCCAAGTCCAAACCCAAGTCTAACCCAAATGCAACCAAATTCCATCAAATTGAATCCCCAAATCAATTCAAAATCACTCAATTCCTTTTCCAAACTCCTCATGACAATTATCCAAGTCAAATTGATCAATTAATTGAACCAAATTCAAATTCTAGCCAAACCCAAGCTCATGACATGATTTTGAACCCAAGCGATGCATGTAACCAAACCTAGCCAAATTGACCAACTCAAGTCCACCACAGCCAGCATTTGGACCCTAAGAACTAGCATAGATTCACTTAGCCCAACCTAGTTGAGCCATGGACCAAGGGTCCCCTAAATTAGGGGATCTCCTTCCAAAATTGGCAAAACCAAATATATCTTTGCCATCAGCCATCTAGCCACCCAACTAATCACAATTAAGGCTTCCTCTGGCTCCCTTGAACCACTTAGCCACCACCTCACCTTTGGCCAGCCACCCTATTCGCCGGAAAGCTCAAATCTGAGAGGACCTTCGCCCCTTTAAACCCAAAATTGAGCCCATCCACTGTGACACTTCCCCATTGGACACTTGCGCCGCTCAGCCTTCTTGCACCAACCAATCAAAGCCTGAGGCCCTCCCCTTGGCCATGGCTATGAGAAGCCCCATTTTCAGCCAACTCCCAAGTGTGCTAAAATCCTTCGAGAGACTCTGCCAAAATCCTTCCAAAGCCTCTTCAAGCTTTCCTAAGCTTAACCCAACCATTTCCCAGCCACCTCCACCACTGCCTGAGCTTAATTTTTAAGCTAAAAACCAGGGCAGATTTCGGACATTTTCCAAAAACCCTCAAACTCCAAATTAAACTACTCTTGAGCTTCCCCAAAGCAAGAGAGGAAGATTCCCACTTAAATTCCTCTTTGTTGAGCGCCCTAACCCACTGTTTGATCAAGGTCGCACCCCCATTCCACTGAACTCGTACTTGGAGCATTCACCAGAGGAACGTGACACTTCCAGGAGGTTCGTTGGACTCCTTTAAAACTTCCACAAGCACCCAATCGAGGCCTCACCTCTTAGGAAAAGGTATAAACTCTCAATCCTAATTTTTTGCTCGGTTTGGGCCTTTGTGAAGAGAACTTGTATTTTATACGCATGTAGCCGTATAGATGTATTTGTCTTGAGTAGATAAAGGACTAGGAACAAACCCGAAGTGATTTGGTTGAGTATCGAGCGAGATCGAAGCGTTTGAAGTCGTGTGGTTCACGGGTTCTGGCCATCGGGGATGATGAACAGAAGTCGTTCATTCGCGCGTGTATCAATCCAACGGCGGAGGGGAAGTCGGACGAGCGGACGGAGCGATAACACGGGCCACGCGGAGCTTTGGAGCGTCGTAGCTTGACGCGACAGATGACATGGATTTTATATTTAAATTAATTTCAGATCTTAGAAAATTCATAACTGTGTAAAAAAATTACAAAAATAAAATAAAAATATCATGTTGCTCAGTGAACAAATGAGATTAGTGCGGAACAAAAATAAAAATTATTTGGTGTCTTTGATTTTTAATTAATTAAATAACATCTGCAATGTTTTAATTTTAATTAAGTGTATAATAATCATCATGGCTTCTGATTTTAGGGGTGTGTTCCCCATGACAGTAGAGGAATTTTGCTATTTTTCCAAAGTCAGAAATAATCTCTACACATGTATCCCTAATTTCTAAGTTTGGATGGTTATTTTGCTTAAAATAATTATATAAATTAAAATATAAATCAAATAATTATGGGACTTGTTTTGATTGGTTCCTTATGGTCATAGGACTTCTGGAAAATTATAAATTAAATTTTAGTATTTGTATAAACCACAATAGTTAATTAAACCCTAAAAATTCATAAAAATTAAAATAAAATTAATATATTTCAAAAATTAGCAAAATCAATTCCACACTATAAATAACACTTATTTTACCTCACTATAAAAATTAGAAATTTATTTGATTAATTTTTATCATTAAAATTGATTTTTCAAGTAAAATGGCATTTTGGCATTAAAATAAATATAATAAATTAAATATAATTAGGATAATTATGAAAAGTGATTTTCTGAGTTCCTTGTGATCAGGAGCACTAAGGAAAAATAAAAATTATTTTTAAGTAAATACTTTATTTTTAAATCTATTTTTGGGACTAAACATAATTAAAAATAATTAAAATTTAAAAAATACAAAAATGCTTCAAAATGTTCCTAATTATTTTCTGATAACTTGGGACTCATTTGAATATTTTTCCTAATTTTTGTAAGTTAGATATAAATTTTTAAGGCTAAAAAAGCATTTTTTTCTAATATTTTTTTTTTCCAATATTTTTCATTAAAAATAATTATAATAAATA